GATGAAATTCAGAGAATGAAATTTTAGAATGTATATGAAAATGTTCTTCAACATGTACCAGAATATTGACCAAAAAACGGATATATCAATCATGTCTGAAAACTGTCAACAGACAGTTACAAACTGTCATAAAACTACCAAACTATCATTAAACGGATCTCATTGAATAAAGGGTTAACTTTCTAAAATTGGAACAAACTGTCATAAAACAACCAAACTCAATCCTAGCCAGGGGCTCTGCCCCTTGGACCCCGCCAGGGGCTGCTGCCCCTAGGACCCCGCTCCTAGGGGCGGTGCCCTCGGACCCCCGTTCGTTTAGGGGCTTCGCCCCTAAATAGCAATGTACTTTAAATCTTGAAAAACTTGAACAAGTGTGCACTCCTACACCATCCTAACTTGTTCAATATTGAACAAGATCACTTTTGGTCAACATATTTAATCCTATTACACTTAAATAATATTTGATGATATAAAATCACTAACATTTATTTGTGTAACTTTCAACACTAAACGCAACATGAGTTTTTTCTTTTTTGTGTTGTATTTTTAGTAACAAATCATTTCTTCAGAACTAGCAAGACGAGGATTTGCTTATGTAAATGGACATCTATTTTTACGAATTTTGATATAAATTAAGTACAATAAACATCAAAGTAGGATATGACAATTGAAATGCATTGTATTTGTTTATTACTAAGTTACTTTTAAATTGAGTAAATTCAAAGTACAATGTTATAACCAATGTTATAACCAAAAACATTTATTGTAATGTTTATTAGTAGTGTAAAAGGATGGATCATCAAGAATACAAATGTATAACTGATTCTCTATTTTTTATAATAAATGGAGTTCTGATTTTACCTTCAAAAAGCATTCTCTATTTTCTAGAATATATTTGCTTCTGATTTTATCTTCAAAAAGCATAAAAACCTATATTTGGAAAGTTAGCAAACCCATTTTTTTAGGATCATGTATAACTTTTGGGTTTCGGATAGTTCTGTAATTAAAAAAAATTAACCGATACCCGACAAATATTGCACTTCGGGTCAGGTATATTCGAGTACCCAAAAATTACATTTTTTATTTTTTGATACATTTCGGCCTCATAAATTGAGTGCAATTTGTGTGTGCAAGAACCTGCTATCATATCGTACCACCTATATATTATATATAATGCATTTGTCTATAATAATCATGTGGTGAGAAAACAAATTGAGAATATGCAACTCACATGCCCTGATAAAGATATGTATATAATAATGTGAAGTTATGATTAGTTTTTATGATTATTTGAAAAAAAAGATTAAATTACTGAAATCGTCCTTATGGTTTGGTCAAAATTACACGTTTGGTCCCTAACATTACTTTTGCATTCGGATCGTCCCTATAGTTTGATTTTGTTGCGTTTTTTTGTCCTTTACATACATAATGTTAGGGATCAAACGTGTAATTTTAACCAAACCTTTGGGACGAAAAGTGCAACAAAATAAAACCATAAGGACGATCCGAATGCAAAAAAAAAAAAAAAAAAAAAAAGGGTCAAACATACAATTTTGATCAAACTACAGGACGATTTCAGTAATTTAGTATAAACAAAATATGCATTTCACAAGTGAATAATCAACTTATTACAGCGGTTGTGTTACAAAAATAAATAAATAAAAAATAAAAAATCAAGTAAGTGTGTATACTTGAATTTTTTTTATGCCTACCTAATACCCGAACTAATTAAATATGGGGTTAACCGAATACCAATTTTTCATACCCGAAACTTGATCTACCCGCCCCTAATATATCAGAATTCAGAACCGGCCAGGCAGATACTTTGGGTTTCGGTTATCTTCCACAGCCCTGACGTGAACTAATAACTGATGTAAGTTTAAACAAACCGATAACCATGACACTAATAACACATACTCTTCTTTTTACATGATCCATTTGATACTTTTTCTTCCACTTAGAATTAGAACTTCTATTTTGAAAATTTACAACCATCGAAAAATAAATCACTTTCGTTTATTAGACAAAACTCATTAATTGCTTATATTTTGTATACATAAATAGTGAAAACAAAAACACACATACATTATTCAGCATATTCTTTCAAAGATTTTCCGTAAACTATATTATATATCATTCGTTGCTTAAACATGTATATTATGAACATGACTTTTTGACTTATTTCCATTGATTTTGTAGATCATTACGGCTTTTCTGAACGAGTCACATAGCATGCACAATAGCAATGGGGTGGCGGTGGAGCATCTGTTTGACAGCATAGACATGGAGGATAACGGGGGTCTTGAAACAATTCTGCATTAAAAAACGACTTAAAATTAATTAACAAGTTAAAATGGTTTTTCATCAAACTGAAAATAATAATCATCGAATTAAAACTTTAAGCAAATGAGTTATTAGTTTTAATAATCACAAGAAGCATCACTTTATAAGGCAAGATTTCAACTGTTAAAATATAAAAGAGAGTGAGGTATGTACGGCGTGAAGTTAACATAGCAGCGTCAGATTGTGGATGCATGGGGTGTGATAACAGAATGACGAATATGAAGATGAGAGTGATCATGCTGGATCGAATTGATTTATTCGTCATGTCTCTCTGGATGAAAAAAAATTTTGTAATTTGTGGATGTAATGTGAATAATGGAAGTGTCGAGTTAAATGATTTATATAGAAGAGTTTCACTTTGAGAAAGTCAGTGGTCAAAACATTACCGGTTTATATGGGTTGAGACTTCAGACACAGTTGACTTCATTGGTCAACACTTTGGCTCAAAGTATGGACAACACCATGAGTTGAAAACTTGAACATGTAAGTTGCATGTTGCAACGTCTTTTCCACGTTAAAGATTATTGCATATGGAAATATATAACAATTTAAAAACCAGAAATTAAACTATAATATTATACATTTTTTTAAATAATACATTTTGTCTATTTTTTTCATAACTTTTTATTTTTTTTAATTTAAAAACAAGTATATTTAGTTTGTCAAAATTTAAATACGATATTAATTATGAAAACTTATTATTTTAATGATAAAATTTTAACTTCCAATATAATATATTATTATATTTAGTTTGTTATTGAAATACAATTTTAAAAACAGTGTCAAAATACTATTTTTGCAAATAATTTTTTTACCTATATCAAAATCTTACATAAACTAAAGATAGCTAACATTTTAAAACAAGAACATTAATTAGTTAATTTTTAATTTAAAATTCTTAAATCTCTTATAAAGCTTTTTCATATAGTTTATATTTTTTTAACATATGTTATATTTCCAAAAATATAAAAGATGATAAAAATTTCATGTATAAAAATTTCATGTATATAATTATCACTAATACAGAAGATGTTTAATAAAGCGGTTTATTTTATTTTTTGATGCGGTTATTCAACCGCTTCAAAAAATATAGTATTATAAAACCATTTTGTTTTTTGAGGCGGTTTTTAAACCGCCTTAGAAAATGTCCAAAACTGCCTTAGAAAAATAGCTTCATAAATTATACTTATTTTTTGAGGCGGTTCTTAAACACAATTATTTTTTGATGCTATTATTAAATAGCCTTAGAAAATAGAGTTATTTTTTTTATGCTAAATATAGTTATTTTTTGATACTATTAGCCTTAGAAAATAGAGTTATTTTTTTTATGTTAAATAGAGTTATTTTTTGATGCTAGTTATTTTTTTATGCTGCCTTAGAAAATAGAGTTATTTTTTGATGTTGCAATACGAATAATGGTAACATAAAATATCATAAATCAATTGTTGATGCTTACAGTCAACATCATTAGAAAATGGAACCACCTTAGGCTAAAAAAAACGCTCTATTAAATAGCACAATTTGGTTGCCATCAATGGCAGCAAAAAAAATAATGCCAATAAACAAAAAGGTATTACAAAATACTGCACCATTACACAAAAAACAAATAATTTGTAGTTTAAATTTTAGTTATAATAAAACACAAAACATTCTAATGAATTCTTGCTGAGTTCTTTTCCGACTATCATTCACCATTTCAATCAAATGCGGTATCAATTCTAAGATAATATCTTCAAGTTTATCAGGCGAAGCAAACATCTTCTTTTTCCAAAACTGGAACAAACAAACAAATTATATAAATATATATACAACTATATAGAAAAATTGATATTTTAAATATATACTAGACACTTACTTTAGTATGAAATTCATGTTGAATGGTCTCAACAAACTCTCGCATGTGTTTAATTACTATATATCCACATTCCCAACTACCTTTTTGTTTATAGCACTACATTTAATTCACAATTAAATATTTCAAACCACTTGAAATAAATTGAAAAAAAAGACAACAAAAAACATACCTTTACCGTTTCCCACTTATCAAATTATCCCGGGAAAATTCTATTTATCAAAGAAGCAAAAAGGTATTTGTCTGATTTCTTTTCATCATTTTTTGAAGAATCCAGAATATAAGTAGATTTTCTATTCAGACATAGGATAAAAAGAACCTAATGGTCACTACAAAAATAAAATATATAGAACAAGTAAACATATATGTGTAGTGTGTATATGTATGCGTATGTATTATGGAAAGAAAAAAATACCCCTGTAAATATGGAGCAATAAAATATTTTTTGCCTTCATGATACGAAAATACTTCTTCGATATGTTCGTAGACAGCCGTCAACCTTATTTGCGTATCTAATCTTGCAATGTGTAACGGATAAAAAAAGCGTATTCGGAATTGGGAGACCTAGAAAAACACCTATATATACTACACAATGTTAGTAAAATTAATTATATCTAAATGTTATTATACCATATTAAAAATATAATAACTTACATCGCAAACCAATGTATAATGCTATAATCAAGCCAACCCCTTAAAAATAACTGTAACACCTCGCTATATAGAATGGGAAGTCGAACTTTGTCGCGATACATCCCTTTGGATGAAAAAATATAAGTGCCATGTGCATTCTTAAAAAAGTCTGCTACTTGAAAAGCAATAGCTTGAATTTTAGGACTTTTTGTTGTACTTTCCTCAAGGATATATAAAGAGCGCCATCTACACATGTAAACGGTTCGATTTCAGGTTCGGATTCGGATTCAGATTCGGGTTCGGGTTCGGGTTCGTGATCGGGTTCGGGTTCGAGTTCAGGATCAGGATTGGGATCGCGTTCACGTTCTAACCTGGGCCTGGGCCCGGATCCGAGTGCATTTAAATCAATTTGTTGTGGATTCATAGATAATATCTAAAAACAAACATAAAACATTAGTACTACATATGATTGTATACAAACATTAAACATCTAAAAACAAACATAAAACAAGTTTTTTTTAAGACTAACCATATCAACCAAACCACCTTGAAAAGGTTCATTAGCATCCATTTGATGATGATAAGGAAATTGGTTTTCCTCAAACTAAAATAACAAACAAATTGTCATAATATTAACAAATAAAACTAAATTAACAACATTTTATAAGAGTGAACCGGTCGACTACGACTACCTGTGGACGATGAAATGAGGTTGTGGTGTCATCAACGTGTATCTGTGGAGAGGAGTGATTCGAGCCCATTCTTGTACCACTATTTGACTTGCTCGGTGTTTTGTTCGCAAGCTAAATAGATTGCAATATTTAAATAAAACTATATTAAAATATATTTTTGTATTTAAATAGAAATATACCTTTAATGCATATCTCGGCCACTGAACGATGCTATGAAGCAGATGTTTAACAAATTCAACTTCATCCGTTTGTGTTACGGCATGCACAGACAAGTTCTCATATATTTCTACGATCTCATCAACTTGAACTTTAACACAACCTTCATTTATTGGTTTTGAATATATAACCGTTTCTGAGGTTGGCCATGTCATACCAGAAGCTACTTTCAACTCAGTATCAGCAACTTTTAATAGCAAATCACATGCTATCATAACCTACAAATCATACAAAAAAAGCTATAAATCTAATATAAGTTTATATAAAAACTATAAATATATTACCTCAATAGATGGATATTCTACCCATCGTCCACCGGACACACCATTAGATTCACGGAATGTTTGGTTCGTGTCCACCCGCGGTATCGATTTTCGACTGTTTTTTCACATTCTTAAACAATCCACCCGAAACCTTGGTAGGCCCAATGATATTGGATACTGTCCGTGATCGCCCCCCGTGGTCGGGCCCCAAAAGCCTAACTAACGGGTCTTCCTCATTTTGATAATAGCTCCCATCGGCTATCATATTTTTCTCTTCTCGTTCCTATATAAAAAAAGTACTTGGTAACATTTATTTACTAAAAATAATCAAAGTCTCATTATTTAAAAAACATAATTGTTACCAAAATTTTGAAATTTTCAATTGCCGTTTGTGGAAGATCATACATCTTGGTTTCTTTGTCTTTTATTGCGAAAAACATTAAATACAACTTAGACCGTTCATTTTGTATGTTTTCTAGAAACTCATATTTTGCTACAAGTTGAGGCCATATAATAGGTGTTTTTTTTTTCAAGACCCGACCATCCACCTCGTCCTACGTGGTTTTGGGATTTCTTTTTAGCACTATTTTTTTTAGCTTTTGCACTTTTTGCCTACACACATATCAACAAAATTTTATTAATTATTTGTAAACATACTAATAATATTATCAATAATAATAATAAACAATTAAAACATACCAAAAACTCAGGTGTAGTTTTTTGTGCAACGAATCTATCCCAAACATCGCGAGGTATAAAGGTATATACAACACATGCATCTAATTCATTATTTACAAATTTTGAAACTAGCCTTGATTTAAAATTTGATGCAAGTTTAACAGTTCTCCTCTTCATATAATCTTTCATGTCATCAGACTCGATATTCCATTGCTTCTACAATTTCAAGACAAAAAATGTTAAACATAATAACTAACTAACAAGTTATTCATATTTGTAATCAATTAAAATATAATACCTTAGCTTCCAACCATAAATCTTCAAAATATTTATCTTTAACTTTACCCGGATCTTCATCTATCGGAAACCTATGTTGAACATTCATGCCAAACCAAGACATAAATTGGGTTGACATGCCACCATTTGGGATATTATTCTCATTGAACTTAACATTATACTCTTCAAGTCAATAATTTTTCTTGAATGCAGCAATACCACGTCGACCTCTTTTTCTTGTTATTGGTCTTACCTCATCCATTTTTATAACCTAACAACATTATACAAATTAAAAATAATTTTATCCATGATAAACACTAGAACATGATAAACACTAGAGCATAACATATTCCAATACAACAGTATATTACAAGAAAAACAAAAACATAATCCGACATAAAAGTTACGGATCCAATGAAATTGGTAGACACCATATATGTGGGCCAAATATTACATTTATTAAAGAGAATAAAACATCTTCTCATATTCTAAACATATTCTAAAGATTCTTGACATCATATAGTTTGTTCTCATATTCTAAAGATTCCTAAATATAACCTAAAGTAATAACGCTTTTTGATAAAAAGAAAATCAATACTATAGTCACGTGTTCATCTTATCATATATTCTAAAGATTCATCATCATCTTCTCATATTCTTAAAGATTCCTAAAGTATAAAAAGAAAACAAATCGATATATATACATACCTTATTCGACAAAGAAACTTGAAAATGCCAACGTATTGAAACCGAGGAGGCTTGTGGAGCGATTTAGGCGTCGGGGACGTCCGGAATAGAGGTCAGCATGGCAATGTGAATGTTTTCCGATGTAGCGTCGACTATGGATGTTTTACAGAAAGAATGCTTTACGAATTCAGCTATGGAACATAGAAGAGGTGGCACGCAATGAAAATTTTAGAGGGAAAGAGATGATTTGGGGCGGTTTTAGGTTTTATGATGCGATTTGTGTGGAATTTGGGGCGGTTATGGAGGGTTTTTTTTGAAGCGGTATCGTGGACTATTAATTTATCTTTTGATGCTATTAAGGTGCTATTAAGGGTTTTCTGTAACGCCCGTAGATCCGGGCTAGTCAATTTAGAGACGATAGGCGTCAAAAAATGGATTTTTGATGAAAAATTATTTAGAATGAATAATATTAACAAGGTTATATTATATGTTACAAGGTTTTCGTGCATATAAAGAACGCTGAAATCCGAGTTATAACGAAGAAGTTATGACATGTCGAAGTTTTGCGACAGAACCGGTACGACACAGCGCGACGTAAATAGTGAATTTATGTTAGAGCAATATTTAGCCTTATCAATCTAAATGAAAGTCGTAGAGTTTGTTAAACCGTGACCGTGCATAAAAAGAACGTCCAAATCTGACTTCGTATGAAGAAGTTATGATTTTTCTAAGTTTCAGCTTAGTAGTGTGCAGCTCGAATACTCGATTTGAGATCGAGCGGTTTCTAGCCGAAACAATCTAAACGAGAATCGAATATCTCATTGTTAGTAGTGAAACGATGAAAAGTTAGGTGATAACGGACGTCGGACGAAGAAGTTATGAATTTATAACGAAGTTTTTCTATCCCGACCTTCTAAAAATAAATAATAAAAAGAAAAATCAAAATTAGCCGACGGAGTCTAAATGAAAGTTGTAGAGTATGGTCTGATCTACGCGTGGATATAAAGAACATTGAAAATGAAGCTCGTATGCAAAATTTACGCAATTTAGAAGTTCGACGAGTCAAATTACGCCCAACGTAATTTGAGTACGCCCAGCGTACTCAGAGGGGTGCAACTTGTCTGACCAATACTCGAGTGCCACCAATTGACGAATGTAGTGACGTCAAAGTATGGCCAGCATAACCTAATTACGCCCAGCGTAATTAGAAATTACGCCCAGTGTAATCCCAGACCCAACAACATATAAATAGAACTCAAGATCAGCCATTTTCCTTGCGATTTTTCTTCCTTTCTCTCTAAGTTTTGCATTGTTTTGTGTGCTAATAATATCCCGAAGCCCCGGTATCATTCCCGAGCCCCGAAGCAAGTTCCGAAGTCCCGAAGATCCCGAGAAGTGAGATTTCCGAGCCGAAGCCCTGCCCGCGAGGAGCCCGGTTTTTGTGAAGATCTTCCAGATCTACCCAAGAATACTACTTCTACAAGTCGTAGTGTTGTCCGATCATCTTCTAAATAGGTGAGTGTGTGGTCACTTTCTTCTTACACCTAAATATTAAGTATTTGCTATGAAATACGTATTATGTGTATATATATTTGTTGTTTATTTGAGATAATTATGGAATGGGTAAATTATATAGGTTTTAATGAGTTAAATCGTATATGTATTTTGTATCTACGAATATGTTGGTTAGAGTATGGGTAGATGAGATTCTTGGTATGGGATAAAAGATGATTTGGACCATGAGATAAAATGATAAAGAGCTAAACTTGTTTTAGATCCGAGAGTATGAATCAGAGCAGGAGGTTAGTTTTAGATCCAAGGGTATGGATCAGATCAAGAGGTTAGTCTTAGATCTAGGAATACGGATTAGGTAATGAGGCAAATTTAATATCCGGGAGTACGGATTATGTATTTTAGAACTGCGTATTCTTTCGATAAGGTATCATGAGTATAGTCCCTTTTAGGAACATGATTTTAATACGAGTATTGATTAAAGTATGAAATATACATATGTATGTGAAGTATTTATTATTGGCTGAAATACGTGTTAGATATATTTGATGATATACCACGTGCGAATCAGTTATGGTTCAATATGTGTTAATAGGTGAATATATGATATTATTGCTTAAAAACTTTGCGTTAAGTATACTCGTAGTCAGCGTTTCCAAATGGAGATAGTATCGAAAGTTGATTTTAGGCATCGTAGGCTTGCCTAGTGATGGGTTATGACTTAATTAGGGATGTTTAGTTCCATTAAGTTTGGATATTGGGTAGCCTCTTATTAAGAGTACGTATGTTGTGAGATTGATGATCGGTGGAGTACGTCCTACGTACAGAAGTACATTTTATGCAAGGAGTCCTTTTTAAAGCTCTGTGTGTTGGGTGCTGCTTGTGCCAGAAATACTATCATGTACAAAGTCCTTTGACAAATTTGTGTGTCGGTTACGGGAGCGTACGGGAATACTCTATTGGTATTTCCCCATACTTTTATTTTGAGAGAGCTTTGGAGTCAACGTTTCTTTTATGAAGTGATCGACCGAGCTTCATATGTCAGCATTTTCTTTCACGAAGTAATTAATGGAACTCCGTAGACTGCCTAATAAAGTGTGTGGGTAATAGACCACTGCTAGGTATTTCTGGTGTTAAATTACTGGATAGGGTGCGTCTGGGGGTGAAATACCTCATGTATTCAGACCACAGCCTAGGCATTAGTCGGTGTTTCCATTTCCTATGCCGGATAGGGTGAGTCTGGGGATTCAAACCACAGCCTAGGCATTAGTCAGCGTGTCCATTGCTGGATAGGGTGCGTCTGGGGGTTATATACCTCACGATATTCAGACCACAGCCTAGGCATTGATAACTACCCCTGACTTAATTGTCTTGTGGTTCTTTCTTTTACAAACGAAGGTTCATGGTGAAACTTATTTCATTCGCATCAATTGATGTCTTTATTGATCCTCGTTTGCTGCCAGGGAATTTCCGAAGCAGCTTCATCAATTTCTGGTTCATATCGATTCCTTAGGCTAGATCTCGTAAGATCATTGTATAGGGTCAATATGTGGGGATCGACGGGATGGGATATATTGTTTTAGAAATATAATTTATATGTGTTTATAACATTAGTGGTTTCGCAGGATCGAGATATACTTTATTATCACGTTGTTTGAACTAAGGGTTTTTCCTTCTCTGTGTTCCTTAGATGATTGGGTTCACCAGGGATATTCGAACTAAGTGTTCATTAGATATTTGAACTTAGTGTTCATCAGGGATAATTCAACTAAGTGTTCATTAAGTGTTTGTGAACTAGGTGTTCATTGGGCAATATTGGAACTAAGTGTTCATTAGGTGTTCATTAATTATTGTGAATTGCGTGTTCACCAGAGGTAATCTAAGAACCTTTGCAGTACTAGACATTGTGCCAGTTCCTTAGGGCAATCCTTAGGAATGAATGGGAGAAGGGTAATTGGTTCTTAGGATAAATCTTTAAGAAATAAATGGAGATAATGGGGTGGGTATTTGAATTGATTGTTTGATAATTAAATATAATAATTATATTATTGTGGGTTGAAAACCCTATATGCTCTCCAGGCTCCCAAGCCTGACCCACTTAATTTTATTTGCATTACAGGTAATGGTACAAGAGTATAAGTTGGTGGACTTGACGAGAGATTTTGGATTATAGGCCAGTAGTTATGAATAACTGTTGTAAGGTCTATTTTGTTCTGTTTATGCTTTTGGTCTGTATTGAACATGACATCCCGAGATTTTGTTATATAATGAAAATACATTTCTTTAAAGAAATGCTTTGATAATTTTTATCATATTTTGTTTTGGGAACAAATTCCGCAACAATTTTCTTTAAACGATTACTCTGATTTTAAAAACAAAGCATACACAAATCAGTCTTTTCTTGCCGTGAAATTAGGGATGTGACATTTTCGATGCAGTAACCTGCAATCAAAAGTTAAAAAAAACGGCAGTAGCTCCTAAATTTTAATGTGAGCTAATTAATATTTGATAAAATAAGTTGATTTATTTAATGAAATGAAAGCACATTTTATTCTTTTTAATGGTAATTTAGATGTTCATTATTCCTTATTCATCTTGGCCTTCCTCTCGTTCGAATGGTTGGTAATTTATTGAACTTTTTTTTGATGCTTTTTTCTATTTTTTTAATGCCATCAATTATAATCCCATAATTTTTTGATGCGTTACTATATTTTTTGATGCTATTTCTATTCTTTTGATGTTTTTTGAGGCGGTTATATGATTTTTTTTTAATGTTTTTTGTTTTTTTAATGTTGTTTATCTTTTGATGCTGTTATAAATATTTTTTAAAGCTATTTTGTATATATTTTAGGGCGGTTTATTTATTGAGGTGGTTTTTGAAGTTATAAGTACGTTGCTTTTTTCTGAAAG